CGCTTCTGCATATGATATGGATTTTTCCGCCATGAGGGCCTTTATACTCCTCTGACGGCCTAGCTCAGGGCAACCTTTGCTATTGGCAAAGTGATTGCCATGACAATTGACACAGGTTGCAATGTCATCTGAAACCAGACAACCATCACCAGGATGGTCCTGACCACATCTGAAGCAACGAGGCTTTGAGCGGCATAAGGTACGTGTGTGTCCAAAGCGGCAGCAGTTAAAACATTGTACCGTGGGATATGTGTACCTTTCTACTGTAAGAGCAGTGTAAAAACAGTAAACTCGTTTTGGCAAAATTTGACCGTCAAATGTGAGGACAACCGTTTGTGTAGGTTTCCACTCTGAACCATCAGAGGAAACAACTTTTCGGTTCATTCTCCTTGCCTTGATGACATTGCCACATCCAGAGGGGACCCTGATATTTTCAACAATTTCCTCCTCAGTCCAGTCTACGGGGACATCTCTAACAATACCCATACGTGTAATGTTAAACAGTGGAATGGAAGTTATATAATTATGTTGGGCTACGACTCCATTAATTAAGAAGCTGTTAGCGTCTTGGTGTGACTTAAATTCCACTGAAATTTTATTTCGTCCTAATCTTTTGACACCATCCATCCGTACATTGTTTATGTTGTTCTTCATTAAGAACATGCCAAATTTCACAGGGTGTAGGGTTGTGCCTGAGGTTTGCGAATCTCTCAAAGCAACATGAACAATATACGGTGGAGCATCATTGGGTGTGTAGCACTGCCTTCCGTTAACTTTTGCCACTTTGGGTGGGTTAATTACAGTAACTGGGGGAGATTGTGCAGGTCTTTTTCTATTTGACATATTTTCTGCATCCATGGCATCATTTCCGGGGTTGGGGAGGGTAACAGTCATTACAGGGGTGTACTCGAATAGTTTATCAGGAGGGTCGGGAGGTTTTTTAGCCTCCATATTAAAAACAAATAAAATTAAATACTCTTAGTATTAGGGGAAATTTTACTCACCTTACCAATAGTTTTTTAAAACAAATATTGGACAATCACAACACAGAGGTGGTTTCAACTTATAATTCAATAAAATAATATTTAAGTTGAAAAAAAACCTCGTGGCACTGACAAAAACACCTATGTCCTTCACCACTACCTACGAAGCTCTCTCTTATCAAAATATTTTGCCGATTCCTTGGAGAAACAATCAAAATATCTACACATTTAAATTAAAACAAAGTGATTATAATTCGCGACGTTTCTTTGGATTCCGTCATGATGCAGCGCATCTATTTCTTTCGAACTTATGAATGACTTGCGCGAGTGACAGAGAAAAAATACATGAATTAAATTTGACGTTTTCCACAAACGCTGTCGTGCTTCGACTAAAGCTGAGACACTAATGCCATCTTTTATCATTATGAGTCACCAGAGTACAAAGAAAAACGAAGAACATTCTACACTTATTACATATCTAGCCATTACACTAATAATTTAAGTAAAGAACACGTTTTTCTCGCTGAGCAACTCTTTTTATAGTATTTAAAGTCCTATTTTTGATCAAAAATCGTGGTTCTTAAAGTAATAAGATTTTTCCTAGAGTCACGAGATGGCGCTTTATTCAAGTCTTACACATCACGATTGCAATAATTTCTGAAATTAATTGCAACCTTCCAGGTAATGTAAAGCATTAATTGATTTTCCATAAAGTCTAGAAAATACTTTACATCAGACAGCGATACTTCACTTGTTTTAAAAACATTTTGAAACCCCTTAATTCACAAACGATCAAAACTACTTTTATTTTATTACTATTTTGCTGAATATTTTGTCATCACTACAATTCTAAGCATTAGGCGTGATACTTTTTTAATGACTATCGTTATGAAACCAGTTAAGTAATTATAATAACATACAGTTTACATTAGATAACCGGGGCAAAACATTTACAAAAATAAAAATTCGGGACGTATCGACAAGGTCAATGCCCTGTCAAAGTCTTTACGGGCACCTTCAAACAATAAGCGATAGCGGGGCGGTTTAATGAATATGACTTACGAGGTATTAGCTGCAAGTTGATTCGTTTTTTCCTGTACCTACAAATTTTAACCTCTCTGTTTTCTGTTGTCGTATAGGCAGCGTTGTTAACTTACCATTGACGATTGATCATCCATCAGATTAAACTAGATGTTTCGCGCAGCTTCGCCTGCGTCCCAAGGAATAAAATATAGCCTATAGCACTGAGAAACTTTGTAGCTATCTATCATAGAAAGAATTTTGGAAATCCTACCAGCGGGTTCAATGACTACGACCTACTAAACTTGCAAATTTTATCTCTTTAGTAATTAGTTTAGTAATAACTAAACTAACTAATGTCGCGCGGTTTCACCCACTGCTCGACCTATTGATCGTAGTGTGATGTTCTATAGCCAATAGCATTCAGGAACATTGTGTAGCTATCTATCAGTGGAGGAATTTTGGAAATCCGACGAACCAGCGAGCGGTTCCAAAAAACATACAAACTTTTTAACATTTTAATCACACGTTTGAGACCGTTTACTGTGCCGGTTGACGGAGGCCGCCTACCCCTCCTCCGTTCGCCCCATCCTCAATCCTCAATTTCCCTATCCTAAACTCCCTAATAACCCATAAATGGCCGGCAACGCACATGTAAACTACTCTAGTATAATGAGTGTCCATAGGCGGCGCCGATTGCTTACCATCAGGTAATCCGTCTTCTCATTTTCCGACCTATGACAAAAAATACTTTTTTTAGCCCAAATATTACGCATGTAGTCGAAGGAACTTCACATTCGAAAGTGCCTATTTCTTAGGTACCTATGCGTTTGTCAAAAACCTTCTTCGCTTTTAACCTACTGGAAAATGTTGTCTATTCGACCTTTGGCCGCAATGTTTTGTTTTTTCCCTTCCACATCCGGCGTTGTGTGTTTATTGTAGCGGAGCAAGAAAAGGAACAGGGTGATTTTTACTCAGTAAGGGTCAGACACTCCGTCTTGTCAGATGTAAAAATGTAAAGAAATAAAAAAATGTACGCCTCCGTACGCCCCTACCAGGTACAAAGACCATTCAAAACCACAGATTCAAAACATCTGGCAAAAAAGTCAATTCAAAAGACAGTAACGTCATGTTTGTGTTTACAAATAATAACGGAAACGCTTCCCGCTCTTCATTGTACTAAAACCGCAACCTAACAAATGAGCGACACGTGCTTATTTGTCGAGAAACGTGAGCTGTGACTCACGAGTATGACTTAATAGTCGCGTGACGGCGCGGGCGCATGGACAGAGGCTACTAGAATATACGCTGCGCGGTGTCCCAGTAAATACACAGATTAAATTACATATGTATGTGTTTACAAGTTGGGCAACTTACATACCTATATCTGTTCTAGAATGTTCATTATTGGAATGTTTTTGAGATGAAATTGTGTTGAATATAATACTTATACACAATTGGACGATAATTAGTACTTTCGGCGACTACCAAAACTAAGTGACCTTATATAAAAATTACTCCGTGGTCAAAAACGGGCTTGCTATCCGTTTTAACCCCCGACGGGAAAAGAGGGGTGTTATAACTTTGACGTGTCTGTCTGTCTGTGGCATCCTGGAGCCTGAACGAATGAAGCGATTTTAATTTAGTTTTTTTTTTATTAAAGGTGACTTACGTGCGATTGTTCTTAGACATGTTTGACGAAAATTGGTTGAGCCCTTTAGAAGTTATGGGGGTAAGTGGGGAAATATACTCGACTATATCTGCAAATATACTCGAGTGGGGTCTCAAATGAAAGCGCACTGAAAGGGAATGTTGATGACTTAATCGAGAGAAAATGATATAAAATACCTATAAATAGTATACTAATAAAATAATAAATTAGACCGCCGACAAAATAAAAATATGTACTTAGTTGATAATAAAATGTTTGGATCGGTCCCCCAACGCCACGTTTTTTTTTTAATTATTACTTTTTAAAGGAATATTAGATTTTTTGTCAAGGATTTTTGAAATTAAATTTATTTATTGCAGATGTTGCCTGCCTAGTTAGTTATTTAGTATACGAATACGAAAATAAACTACAATACGAAAATAAATACAGTAACCACTGGTTGGCTTTTTTATAGGTACGGAAAAATTATGAAAATTGCCCAGTGAGCGGCGAGAGGAAGTGTCAGACTGTTACTGACTATGACCCCCCGTTTATTCTTTTGCTTTAGACCGAGGCCGCGGTGCCTTGTTGCGCTTACCCATTGACTGGCTACTGAGCCGACTTTAAAAGATATTGCTTCTTTAAATAAAGTTTAGTTTACTGTTAAAATAGCTACCAGTACCGTATCTGTACTGAATCAGTTTTCCAAAGACTAAAACCTTAAAAGAAACATTACACTGTTTATGGCGAATTAAAGAATTTCTGACGGATGATAGTTCATTTCATAGTTTCGCCAATTATAAATCCTATGCAATTAGGCGAACGTTAGGTTATGTGTATAAGTTTAATTTTCTTTTCTTTTTTTGAGAAGGGAATATCATCAAATGACCTCTCATCATTTTTGGTCTCAGATAATATTTTTTTTATATAAAAAACGTTGTCCCACATTAGGATTTTCTCCTGTGTTGTGGGTGCGTTTACAAACATACAATTTCACATACACATTACACCCAGACCCGGAACAACAATTTGTGGATCACACAAAGAGATGTTCCGTGCGGGAATGGAACCCGCGACACGTTGTGCGGCAGCCAGTTGCCTAGCCACCGCGCCAACCGTGCAGTCAGATAATAAAACCACAACACATTTTTGTACAATTTTTGAAATGATTTTAGAGCATCTAAATTGTACGAGTAATGCATGTTACTATACCTATACTACACTCAGCCAACATACAGGTGAGGACAGTAAATCCAAAGAGAAAAATCATTGTTTAGTGTTTAGTATATCTCACTCACCAACAGATGGCGCTGTCGCCAACTACGAACAAAATGAAACACGCAAAATATCATAACACCAAATATTTTAATAATAATAAAAAACATTAATATTTAACTGAATGTCGGGAGATCACAGTGTTTTTTCCTAACATGGAACCGCAGTGATGTATTATATTTCGTTGCGAACGGACATACTTCACATTTGAACCTTTTCTCAGTAGAATGTTTATATTTATGTTGTACAAGATTGGCGGGTAATATCGTGGCATAGTCGCATTGATCACACATATATCGCTTTTTCCCTGTTTCGTGAGCTTCTTCGTGGTATTTCAAAATGTATTTGTTCATTGTCTGGAAGGGGCACTGGGTGCATTGCAGTTTCACTCCTTGGTCAGCATGTTTTCTCTTATGCTTCTCCATAGCACCTTCATAAAACGTCTTGTACCTGCACCCAGCGTAATCACAATTCAACGTCTCAGCGTTCTTATGTCTCAACATATGTTGTGTCAAACTAACTCTAATATTCGTTTTAAACTCACAATATTTACAATGCATCTCTGTATCTGTGTGAAGAGCTTTTATATGTTTTTGTAACTCGTAACCGGGAAGAATTTCCCCACAGATCTGGCATTGAGTCTCCTGTATGCTGTGATGGTTCGCTTCGTGATGCAACTTCAGCTGTTCCCATGTTAAGAAGGTATCCGGGCACTTGGTGCACTGGAAGCTATCTTTTATATCTTGATCCTCTCTTTTAATTTCTACCTCTTTTTCATCCTTACCTATATCCTCTGATCCGTGCACCATATTTATATGCTTACACAAATCAAATTCGTCCTTAAACATCTCACTACATTGTTCACATTTCTGTGCCTGATTGTTCAAATGATTTGCATTCGGATGCTTAATAAATATGTGTCGTCTATAACTCTCCTTAGCTTTGAAAATTTTCTTACAATATCGACATGTGTACGACACTTTTAAATGCACTTTCATGAAATGCGGCTTCAGCTGTCGTTTATCGTGGAATCCTTCGTTACATAAGTTGCAGAAGACGGTCTTCGGTGAGTCCAATTTGTGTGTGCACCTTAAGTGTTTGGCTAAACCTCCTCGCGACGCCAATAAGATGCCGCAAATATTACATTCTTTAACTTCCTTTGTATGAGAGTGGTTCAGATACAGCTCTCGGGTATCAAACTGTTTATTGCACACTTCGCAGTGAGACCGCTTGTCATGTTTTCGTCTCACATGCCTCTTCAAACTCTCAATTTTATCGTAAGACAAATTACAAATCCGACACTTTAATCTGAAATCTTCTTTCAAAGCATTATGCTTCCTCCTCATATGCAGTTTCAAGAAGTTGACAGAAGAGAAGACTAGGGGGCATTCTTTACAAGTAATCTCACCAGTTTCCTCATTCTTGCAGTTCTCCAAATACTCATCTCTATTTTCACTTTTGATATCTTCATCGGCAACGTGATGTTTTCTCTGCACGTGTCTTGCATAAGATTCTCTTTTCGTAAATATTTTTGGACAGAACGGACAGTTGTACCATTGGTTGATTTCTGGTTTTTTACAATTAGAATGTTTGCGTTGTATATGGACTATTAAACTTCTGTACTTATCATAAGTTAAGCCACAGTCTTCGCAGACATGTTTGAAGGATTCTTGGAAGGCTCCATGCTTTCTTCTCATGTGCATTCTTAACCGGGTCATTCCTTTGAAGACTAGAGCACATATTTCACAAGTCCGTTCTTCTCTGTCGTCCGGCATGGAGTTCGGGCCATGTTTCCTCTTGATGTGAGCAACTAAACTATTCTTCATTTCATAAGACATGCCGCAGTAATCGCAGATGTGTTTAAATGATTTTCTGAAGGATTGGTGTTTCCTCTTCTGATGCATTCGAAGAGTTTTCTTTGATTGAAAGACTAGATGGCAGACCTTGCAGACATGACTGGGTGCTTGTTGGATAGGCAAATCTTGGCTGTTAGGGAACATATCAGATTGGTCTATGAGCTGTGCTCTTTCGTTCATGACGCTTTCAAATGTAAGAAGAACTGCTTCATGATTTTGTTGTTCGATCTTCACGGCTGGCTCCTGACTGTCTTCGCTGTGAGGTCCCTCAACCATCAGACCACTGCTGTCAGCAAACTGGAATGAGATAAGATTTATATTAATTTTATCGTGCTCCGTTAATATTACGGTTTACCAGTAACCCTGGATAGGCTTTCTTACACTGATAATGGTTTCTTACACTCTATAAAAGTGAAGTGATGTGTACTGCTCGGCATGCTGTATTAAGGGGAGTTTAGGCACCAACGCTAACTTATGGTAGTGACACTTGGGTTCGGTAGATCAGGCAGAAATAGGGTTGATGCTGCGGAAATGAAAGTCGTACCAGAGACCCAATCAGGAATGTGAATGAAATAAATTAAATAAATGACTGTCACTAAGTGTTCTTTTGTTTAACCTATCCGAGTGGGAGTATGTACATAATAATTATGTTTGTAATTACTAATATGAAGAAATACTCACATCATTAAAATCTAACTGCACCTCAATATCTTCAACCTTAATTTTAACTTCAGGATCCAACAAAGAGAGAGGTTCCATTTTTATATCAACCTTATCATCAATATCTTTGAAAGGGTCTTCTTGTTGCTTTTTCTTCTTTTTCTTTTTCTTCTTAATTTCATAAGACATCGGCTCCTCGGGTAAAAATGAGGTAGGATCCTTTCTTGAATCAACACTTTCTATTTTAACTTCTACTTCGAATTGACGTTCCATTTTAATTTATTTATCGTATAATAACTGGAAAAGAAGAAAGTTATATCATTAGTATATTATAAAAAATAATTGTGGGAAAGCCATGCATGCACGGCCTCACAGAAAACGTACGCGAAACAAACGTGTGCGATTGACCGAAAAGGTTTCCCCCATTATCAAAGCAATGCTCAGAACCCTTCATGTCAGAACCACTACTCCCAAAAGGCCTGTAACACAATTTTTACTGCTCGGTATAGAAGGTGTTCGTTAGTGGCAATGATTGCTTACCATCAGATAATATTGACGGTATCCCGATCAAAACTATCTATAGGTCTGTCTGTAACTCTATTTGTAGTTTGTTCTGAAGTCAAATTAGTCCTAGTGTCTCAGTCAGTTTATGGTTACTGTTGAACTATGTATTGGCTACGTCTCCATAAGAGAGTTTGCCATTACCCAATAGGCGGGTAAGAGAGGAGTTAATGATGTTCAGAGAGTAGCCAATACAGCTCACTATTAAAGCACCTAATATAAGCTCAATAATAAAGCTGACATCTTTATTTGTTTTTCGTAATCTCCGGAACTATTGCTACCACTACCATCTTGCCACAAATAACAGGAGCTGAGTGGTGTAATTATAGCTTTTCTATGAAGTTAAATTAAGTCCTGGTTAATCCTCCCAATTGCGAGGTAAGGCTGGGGCTACAGGGTAACTGCAATAAGTTACCGAGGCTCCCGCTAGGAGGAAGAGGAACGAGTGGTATTTAGTCAGTAAGAATCTAATACTCCCTCGCTTCGATATCGAAGAAATATGATATCACTCTCAAAAATGAGGTACTATTACAGCGATATCAAGATTCAGAAGTAAGTACCATAAAATTGATTTTACAGTTTAAATAGTAGGTGTAGCAACAAAACTTCCAAATTATAAATATTTTCTCTTAGTATTTAAATTAATTACAAAATTAGTTCCAACATAATGTAGGTATATAGGAGACTATAGAAGACAAAATTACATATTTATTCTTATCAGTCACATAAATACAGCATACATTGATACTGATAGACTGATTAAGAAAGAAAACATATATTTGTATTTCTTGAATTGTATTTTTACAAGCTTTTCATCTAATTTCCACAAAGGCCATTGTGTACAACAGTAACAGTGTAGATGTAACCGTCTGTCTATCTGTAACGCTTTTTTGTGTTGCTGTGATTTTCAATAAAAGTATATAATGATGGTGTCTTCCCGAACCTAATCAAATACAGTAGAGTTATTCCACTATTCAAAAATGGTGACACTAAGGAAGCAAACAACTATAGGCCTGTGTCTGTTCTGCCAAAGTGTTTGAAAAGTTAATGCTATCTCGGATGCTTCATCACTCTGATAAACATGCCATCTTACATCACCAACAATACGGTTTCACTAAAGGTTGTTGTACAACTGACGCCGGTGTCACTTTGATAAAGGAAGTATTCAGTGGTTGAGAGGAAGCACAGGATGCTGTTGGTGTCTTTTGTGATCTCTCAAAAGCATTTGATTGTGTTGATCATGAAACACTTTTGTTGAAATTTGATAATTACAGGATAAGACATACTGCACTGTGTCTTTTAAAATCATATTTAGAGGATAGGCAGCTAGGGGTTCATGTAGGTGGTTCTAACTCATAGGGCTTTGAGATAAGAATGGGTGTTCCGCAAGGTTCAATATTGGGTCCATTTCTCGTTTTAGTGTATGCCAGTGACTTGCCATTTTTACTTAAAGCTGTGTAGACAGGCATACTACAAGCTTTCAGATTATATTGGCTATAAGAATGCCTGGCAGCATTTTGGTTCGGCTCCACTGGACAATAGTCTTTAATCAGTAGTAAATGAAATCCTCAAAATTAATGAATACTTAATTTATACATCCATAGAGTTTATATAAAATTATTCTTTTAGATTGTTAGTATACATATTAATTGAGCACCATGTTCAATATGACGAAGGATTAAGATTTAATGATAGATCTAGTCATTTGTTTTTTTTTTTACGTACACATTTTTCTCATACATACAATTTGTATACATTATCATGCCCTATGATAATGTATACAATTGTAAAACAAATAATAATTTTTAAAAAGAGTTATGATGGAGTTTCTTGCTTGTTCTCTTCATTTGAAACTACAATTTGGATCAAGCACCTAGCTCCACTGACAAACAGACTGAAAGACTAAGATCCTATTTTGATGTTTCAAAAGTGCCTATTTATGGTTGTAAGTTGGAATAAATTATTTTGATTTGATTGGTATATTTCAAAGTAATGCGATAAATTTAAGCTAAATGTTGTATTTATTTTCTAGAAACAGTATAATTGCTATCACAAAGATAATACAATAGTATCAACTTAACGTTATGAACACTAATAAGAAAAAACTTAAATAAGAGATAATACTATAAATAACCCTCTGAAACACGCTCAAGGACGCCTGGATAATAAAACATTATTATAAATTAATGTAAATCATTAAAACCAACCTTTTTTCACTCAAACTTTAAGAAACATTAAAGAGTTAAGATTATTTATAGATAATAGTGATTTTAAAAAGGTTATTAATTGCTAACGACGAATGATATAGCGAAATACACGTCATTTAGTCATAAAACTCACCTAGTTTATCATCAACATATTTTTCTATCGAGAAAATTCACAACTTATGTTACTATGGCAGTAACTTTTAACAACAACTTATTTTGTACAACCTTAGAATCTTATTGCACTATACACTATACTTATTTTACCAACACCTTTGTGATAAAAATCAATAACTTTGTATTATAATAAATATCATTATGAAAAATGGCCAAGTCAATAGTGGCCTTTTTAGCGAATACTGACGTTTTCAAGTTTTTATTGACATTTGTAAGACAGTGTTGTCATAGTGGATTCTTTTAAAATATGATTTTTTTCTTTTTGCATTATTGAAGATGTATAAATTCGAGTATAAAGTTCTTATCACGATATATTAACTTCAATGCAATCAACGTTTTCTTTTTCAAGGAACAAAACAATTGATATTTAAATAAAAAAAACGTTGCCCCGTACTTGTATTTTCTCAATTTCACACACACACACACCCAGACACGCAACAACAATTTGTGGATCACACAAAGTGTTGTTCCGAGTGGGAAACGAATCCGTGACACTTAGCACGCCAGTCAGTTGCTCAGCCACCGCACCAACCGTGCAGTCATAATGATCCGTTAATAATGGCCCGACGACGATGCCTTTTCCGTAAAGGTTATAGGTAAAAAACAAAGTAAAAACGTTCATCCATCCGTCAGCTCATTGGTTTCCACTCTCTTTCTTTAACCCATAAGAAATCTCGTTAACACTACCACGGCCGTAAAAGCGTATCAGATGAAATATTAATTCCTAGTTACGGTACGGCCGAGATCTTGGCGAGTCTGAAGTTAGCCGTTTGTCTGCGCAATGGATCTTTTACGAACAAAATTGTGTAGGTAATGCGCAGCTAATCGGCTAACTTCACTACTTCAGACTCGCCAAGATACGTCATTGCATTGCATGCGGTATTGCATATAGACGTATTTTGTTACTTAGTTATTATCCATCCTTTTCTATCCAGTAACAATTTAATGGTTGCTCTTTACTATACAGTACCATACATAACAACTTTTGAGATAAAGAAACTTTATCTATGCCCCCGTAGTAATAAGCTTTTTACCTAAAACTTAACAGCAAGCGGTATAAAAATAAATGTAAAATGTTTGTATCAAGTGTAGTGTAGTGTACAATGTCGTTGTGACGGTTAAAGGACTAAGAAAAAACTGGTACAACATTTCATCTCTAGTATTTATTTGTTTTTATCGTAGCCTATGTTATAAGCTTATTTAATTTTATATTTAGCAAAAATCAAATTCAAACCAAATAGTCTTATAACCCTAACGAACGAAACATGACCTATGAATTTAGCAAATATTAATTTAAAATTGCGAATATTATAACATGAATTGTATGTTCATTTTCATCATTCAACAAAAAAATATGTACTACCTATATCATCCTTTATGCTACTTGAAACAATGCATTGTGTTTTGACTAAGGTTAGTATTGGCCCGATGCTCTCTCCCTTTTCAATCTTCAAGCCCCTTGCCCTAAAAGATAAGTAAAGCACCAAAATCAAGCTAAGTAACTCCTCTGTTACTTAGCTTGATTACTTGACATCAGGTGATCGGTCTCTTTATTTATCGTGTTATCCTATAAAAAATTACGAATGTAAGTCCTGCACTGTTTGTTGCCTTCATATTTTTTAAAAGCTTATGTTTCGTCTACTAGGCGAGTCTTTTAAGTCTGTGGCTGAGATACTTGTCTTGCTCACTTTACCTTTTGAAAATTAATAACGTAGGTACGACTCAATGTAAAGTATCCGAACAAATTATTTTTTAGACTTGTCAGTTGAAAAACTGACAAGTCTATGCCATTGTCAAAACAAATGTCAATATCGCAGTTTACATCGCGATAATTTATTTTCTAACCAAACTAAAAAAAACATTAAAAGGATTAATTCAATTGTATTCATGTGATTACATAATGTTTCCAACATTGTTAAAACGTTTTTTAGTCTTGCAAAAAATCAAGCCGTTCCATGCGCCGGTTTCGTCACAAATAAGAAAGATTCACGTGACATCGAGTGAGATTCGAATATTTTTTTATTTACATAGGTGTTAAATATGGAACTTTAGATATTAATGTTGATAACTTTACAGATTTAAGGCATGGGGAGTATGAATGGCAAGATCCCAAGTCAGAAGATGAGGTGTAAGTATTAAAATTGATTTAGATGATTTTAGGTAATGTTATTGCCAAATTAGTGTTATTTAACTATCGTCAAGTTAATTTAGAAATGTTCTCTGTAGTTTAGATAGCAATATAATAAGGTTTTCTAATAAACATGTTGAAGTGTCATGTGTTACATGGCTAACTTTAGTGTAAAATTGAAGTGATAATATGTAAATAAACTCTAAAATTTGTACCTATCTATAGCTCAGTGACACTCATTAGTGCAAGAAAGTTTAATGTTTAGATATAAAGTTCAGGTAAACAATGAGATAGTAAGTAATAAAAGGTGATACAGTATATTTTTTCTTATCAAAATTATTACATCATGTTTGTCATGTAACTTGATATCAAAAATATATTTTTTCTGTACAAAGAAGCATATACTAAATAGTCATTACTTTACATAATTAATAAGCATATAAGTGCCTACTGCCGACCAAAGGCTTATTCTCACATGGAGAATGAATGAGCATTAAGTACCACTTGCTCAAGGCAGATTGGTCATTTCAAACTTTCAATTATTAGAAAATATAAGTCCAGGTTTTCTCACAGTGTTTACTTTCTCCATTTGTCTAAATGGGCATGCACCTTTTTATTATTTCTGTTGTAAGAATTAATTTCTAATCAGCATTTAAGAAGATATTTGTTTAGTATTAACTATTTTTACTGTATTGAAATTATATTTTTTAAGATATTGAAAATTTCACGATACAACTTAAAAACAATAATTGGTTTTAAATGTCAAACAAATTTCCTGGAAAATGTTTTCTTATCAGCTATGACTAACTGTAGTAAACTGGACAAGTTTTCATTGTGTTATTTTAATTAAAAAACGAACAGAGTTTTTTCTTAGATATTTGGTAATGTTTCCTTATTATTTTCAGTGTAAATATAACTTATGTAGACAAAGATGGCAACAGAATTAAAGTGAGAGGGAAAGTTGGTGACAATGTAATGTATTTAGCACATAGACATGACATTCCCATGGAAGGTGAGATTTTGAACATTTTTCTATACCTACATAACATATACACAGTCAATGTTGACTGATGCTAGCAGAAGATTTGCCTTCAACAGTTTTTGCAGCAAAAGGATTTTTGAAAATGGAAAGTCATCAATATCTTCTCCCGAGTTGGGATATGAGAAAGGGCCTTAACCTTGTGTTTCCTTATAAATATTTATTTTTTTGTAATTTAAGAGGGTGGTAGAAAAAAGCAGTTTTCTAACCCGTAGATTTATGTATATCCTCTATAGCATATGAAAAATGTTGTATTGCATAAACATGGATGCAGAATAATCTTCCTAAGATTTATTTTAATCACATAAATTAAAAACATACAAATCCATGATTAAAACTTGTTGTAAATATTTATTATTTGCAAATTTCCAGGAGCATGTGAAGCATCACTAGCTTGTACGACGTGTCATGTGTATGTACCACCAGAATATTTTGATAAACTCCCTCAATCAGAAGAGAAAGAAGATGATCTACTAGATATGGCACCGTTTTTAAAAGAAAATTCTAGACTAGGTTTGTATGAAACTTTACTTATCTATACTTATTATTAATATTATAAAGTTTGTTTGTTTGTTAAAACGTGCTTATCTCCAGAACTACTGCTTCGAATTGAGTAATTGTTATTGTGTTTGTTAATACATTTGTCGACGAAGGCTCTAGGCTATAAATCATAACGCTACGATTTGTAGGAGCCGAGTAGCGATTGAAACCGCGCGACAGAAGCTAGTTTTAATATAGCTCTATTAACTGAGTAGAAATGTGTTTGTGAAAGATATAAATCTTACCTTTATGGCCTTTTCTTGGGGTCCACTAAGGTCCATGGAGAGTACCTGCTAGCTGGTTCAGAGCAGAATTTAGAACTTGATGGTGTTTGTCATTAGAAGTCCAATGCACCTCAGCCAAAGCAGACAGGAGTCATTCGATAATATAGCCCCTTAAAAAATACCCACTTTTTCCGAAGAGTAAATTAAGCATTCCAGCCGTTGTTAGTAATAATCTACATAGTTAAAGACAAGTTCAAATTTTACGTAATTATTACGGTATACGAACAGTTTTAAACGTATTTATTTTATTAGAAAAAAGTAATCCTAGCTGGCAGACAATCTTGCACTTTAAAAGCAGTGATCAAAATGTCCTGTAATTAATCAACTTTTTGACTATTTGACTAACTACCCTCATTTATTTCCTGTTTTTTTTTTATTTTTTTTTATTATTTTTACATTTTCAGGTTGTCAAATTACACTCACCAAAGATTTAGAAGGTATGGAAGTGCAATTACCTAAAGCTACAAGAAACTTCTATGTTGATGGACACAAACCTAAACCGCACTGAAGTAGAACTATTTTAGTATGTTGTAAGCATATTACGAGAGAAGGTAGCCAACAATTCAACAGATTTCTTTATTAATGGTCAGTATGTTGAAACAGGGTGAATCGATAAACAGAGGGGATGAATAAATGTTGGCGTATTTCCTAGCATTTATTTATCCCTCTTCTGTGTCTTTTCACCCTGTTTAACGGTATCTAATAGTCCAATAAGCAGATTGTCATACTGTCTTCGAAAAGTTCACATAAAAACTTTTTACACATTCGAATTCAAGAAAATTTGTTAAATTGACATTATGGCTGTGTTTTATATTTATTATCTATCTGTGAATGCAGATCTAATTCTGAAGAAGGTTATAACTAAGTAATTTGGCTGCTAAGTTTATATCCTTTTGGTTTAAAAATTCTGAAAGTAAACATTTTGAAATTGAGTTGATGAACAAATATTTGTTATTTAGTATATTTATGTATGGTTTGAATTAAGTTTAGAAAACAAATTCATATTCGTAAATATTTTAATACGAAGTCTTTATTTTGAGATTCTCTAGCTTTGTGCACAGAAAGAATTATTACCAGTCAGACTTTGAATGGTACCTACATTCAATACAAGAAATGGAACATGATTGAGAACGCAAAATATGTATACCTATATATATTTTTTTAATACCTTACTTTTCAGTCGCCGCGACGCGCACGCTGTTCATTAATAAGAGTCCCGTTGTGACTTGAAACTAGTAGAGCTTACCTGAATTAACTAATAATTCACGAGAGTAAGTCGATATTTTGAATAAATTGAATGTCTCACAATAGTTACTATTTATAGAGACATAGTTAAAGTTATACTAATTTCTCGAATTGAACAAGTTTTATCACAGTAACTATTTATGAGATAATGCAAATAAAAATATATGAAGAATGCAACAAATATACATAAAAAGTACATTAGAATAGATCTAGATCTTGCTTAAAGCATAATGTAAATAAATTTTGTTACGTACTTTATTAAGTATCATTTTTGTTTTAATTAATTTGTTGTACTAAAGTTGTGTAAAAAAAATAAAAGAATTTTATCAATATTTATGTTGTTTTTATTCGAGATTCTTTTTACAAATCAGTCTTGAATTTAAGTTTTACATATTAGATAAATAAAGTTTTATAAGATTGGCAGTAAATATTTGACATCTACCTAATTACATTTTTTATGGGATAGACTAGCCTACGAGCACACGGTCTACCTGATGGTAAGCAATCGGCGACCCACATGGATACTCGTTAAAAGTACTCACTAAAGGAGTTACTAGTGCGTCGTTTGCCTTTTGTTTAGTTTATAAATGATTGCATATTTTCCTGATAATTAATGGATTGTAATTGCAACATATTTGCCTTGTGTAATTGAATAATAGGAGTTAAGGGCCTTTCTGTCGCATAGGGGTGTACTTTAATACTGTGGTTTCTAACTAGTCCAATTCAATACTTTTATCCAAATGTCAAAAACGATACTTTTTATGAAATTTGTATGAAACACAGAGTTATGACGTCATAGTTTTTGAGCTTATTTATTTCTTAAAAACTAACTAAAAATATCTAAAATTTAGTGTATCGATCGACCGATAAATTAAAAATAAAGTTATCGAGTTAATGAATATATGATACGTCGATTTAATTTATTTTTGACCTAGGAAATTACCTAATTGTAGATTTAAAAACACATAAAAAAATGAACTTATGGATGAGGACGGCTAACAGCTATTCCAGTTACACAATTGACTGTAAGATTGGCGCAATATACAAAAATGTAAAAAAAGATAAAAACAAAATGTAATCACTATAAAAATTAAATGAATTAGTTATTAAACGGAACAGGGTCCCTCTGTGGCTTGAAACGAGTAGAGCTTTTCTCAATTAATTCACGTGAGTATCTAAGCCGATGTTTTAAAACAAATTAATAGTTTCTTTAAAAAAAGGAATGAGTACTCAACCTAGAACTTACATTTCAAACTATTCCTCCGATGGCTATCAACATGTTTTTTCAAACTTTGTTTATATACAGTCTTATAATTACACTTATCACAATAAAGAAACTTCTTTTCCCTCTGATGTTGGAGCTGATGACTGGAGAGTCCAGACTTTGTGGTACACTGGTAACTACATAATGGAAATGTACAAGGATACGGTTTGTCGTTTGAGTGTATGCGTTCATGTATCTTCATGTTTGAGGGGTGGTATGTGACATAATCACAATGTAAACATTCTATTTGTTTTTTAGCCCAATGTGTATTCTCATGTTGTTTAAAATGAGACATTTTAGGAGTACTGTAACCACATACACTGCAGTAGTGAAGTCTCCGTTTAACTGATTCATGTTTGTTGGCTAAATGTAATAAAATTTCAGTCTCATTGTTGAATGTTGCATGGCATATGAAGCAGGATTTTAATATGTTATCAACGCCGTGACATTTTATATGTTCTTGTAAGCTCATTGTGTTTTTAAATAGTTTCTTGCATATATGGCATTTTAGTTTACTTCTTCTTAACTTAAGCTTTCCATTATTTTTGATATGGTCCCATTCATTAGTGTGTTTTGTTTTAACATGGTGTCGGACAGTTTGGATTGTTGAATAAAAATTATCACAGAATTTGCAGATGTATCGCCCTTGGCTGTCGATTTTCTTGTACCATATATCTTCAATATTGTTGTCCTGAAAGTTTTGAACTAAAAATAAAGTTGGAAATAGAAAGTATTATGAATTAATAAAGTGCTGGTAAGACTTGAGACTAAATGTATTTTATTTTCATTTAGTGGGTCATCCATCACCATTATCAAATATTATTTACTGGTAATTTCTTTTAATTGATAAGTGCTATGTGTTTCTATCATTTGTTTCTATAGTATAATAAGTAGTATGCATATGCATAATTTACATGTAGTAAATATAATATTGTATTGAAATTATTTATCAGTGAGTTTGTAGCAAATCCTATTTTCAAAAGAGTAATATGTTACATTTTTCTTGCTTGTCTCGATCCACATCTACATTTTGAAACAAGCAACAAGCTTAGCTGATGGAGACTGAGAGACAATTCATTTTTGTATTTCAAACAAGCTTTTTATAGGATCAACTGAAATAAATGCATTGCACTTATAAATGCACTTAAAATAAATGCATGCATTTAACTTTAGTTTTACTTACTTATCGGACCAATGTATGCATTTGTGTATGCATATATTACGTAATAAATACATAACCAAACGCTGATGTGATTATTTTTTGTTATGAGTTCAAGATAAGATAACATTAACTTAAAAATATTTCTGTTACTTACTATGGGGGTAATATTTAGTTGAGGTTTATGTTTTTCCCAGCAATCATTCACATCATTTATCAATCCCTGAAATCAAATGTCAAATTTTGGCAAGGCAATAATCAATGCTTACATAAATATAAATATTTTATTAAAATAATGAATATTTTATTAATTTGGTAGTGCTCCTTACTTATCAATGTTGGGCTAGAAAGTGCTACAACCTAGATTCCCGGGATGGGATTGTTCTAGAATTCTATTAATATTCTCAGTATACCATTGCATGGAGTCTTAAGGCTCATTTACACAATACCTTTATCTTAAATAAAAATTAGCAATACTTAATTGAATTCAATTAATTTCAGGCTTGATTGTGATACCATAATTATGTACTTATAGTATATATATTTGGACAATGCAAGTAAAAAACTGTTTAAACTGGCTATATGTAACAGGGAGGAAACTTTCATTTTGTAAAAGGGTCTTAAAACTGGTGTATGGTAACAAACAAACGCCTAGACAGGACTCTTATCAAAATTGAAAAGTTGGTGTTACATTGGCAATATACATTTCTTCTACCCTCTAGAGAATTTTGTGTGAAATACAAATAAATTTCACAGAATAATAAATACAATGGACTTTGTTATATCAATTCTATTACTAATTTTAAACAATAGAAATTCGTAGAATACGAAACATATACATTATAAATTGTAGGAAAATTAAACAAAGACAGAATGGAATCTTGCCTACGGCGTCGAAAGAAAAAAAAAGTTTTTCTTACTATAGGCTCGTAAGACGAGCGATGATATTTATTTGGCATCACGCCAAATTTTCTTGATACTGCATTACTAAAATCGTGACTAACAATTACAATTTAAAACACGATTATACGTACGATATTTTTATATTTTTTTATATCTTTTTTATTGTTTTTACTGTTACTTACTTGTTGATTTATATTTTCATTGGGGTTATTTGAAATTTTCGTGTCGTTTGTGCCGCACTTTGTAATATTTTCACACAATGGGTCTACTTCAAATGAATCAAAATACTCAATTTTTATTTCCTCTTCGTCGTCACTTACATTCATTGTATGAGTTTGTTAATTTCAGTAATGAAATGCAAAAAAATTTCAATTGGAAATCGTACAATAATAAACAATGAATGACAGTTTAGAAAGTTGAACAACCTTTTGATGGTTTTCAGTGTTGCACTGTTTTAGCTCAAAACTACTAATAATCCTTATTAGTTTTTACTTCCTCAGACCAAAAGAAGTCGTCGTTTACGGAGAATCTCAAATCTTCTCCATGTTTACAAATATAAAGTCATACAGAAATAAAACGTATTCAAATAAATGTAAAAACTTTTGGCTTAACGTACTAAATCGGTAGTAAAAAATAAAAGCGGCAATCCAATTTCTGCGCGTCTTTCTCCTCATTCGTTCTTTACTCAATAGATTCCATTCGTTCAATCAGTCTGCTCGCGACCGCCGTGGAAGGAGGTATTGTCGGTTTCGTTTCCTACAAAACGCGTTTCGGTGTGATTTGTGTTTTGTTTTGTGGTGCACGATGGCTTACAACGGTAGTGGTGGTAAGAGACTGTGTACTGGGACCGACCTGGACGTGGAAAGGGTGAGTAACAATATTTATGTACACAATTGTCAAACCTATATCTACGTTGAGCCGTCGAAAATGGCCGTGTTTTGTACATTTCCCGTTCCATGTTCGCGTTTCAGTCACGAAACTCTTTTGTAATAGTTCCTGTAATCATCCGATTTATGATAATGATCGTTTGTTGACTGTTAAAGCGTTTAGTTTACGCTTCTTGTCATGATCACGTTACGTTGTTGATTTCTCGTTTTGAGGTTACGTTTTGTTGACACATGATTAAATTAAAAAATAAGTGTAGGTATGTACATATTTCGTATTTTTTTAATTTTAATTTAATTTGCTGCTAGG